CAAGAGACGTCACCTGAAACCAGCGGAAAGAAAGAGAAGAAAAAGAAAAGGAAAAATAAAGATAGAGAACGTGATTCCGAGTCCTCCGAAGCCTCCGATGCTACCGCCCCAACCGAAGACGAAGACCAATCCACCGAGGTTAATTCACCGAAAGGGAAACGAAGCAAGAAGTCAAAGGACTGAACCGCACCTCGGATATCAAATTTATCTACATGTTCATGAAATTTGTATCTTTATGCCTTACGTTTTTTTTTATGAGCAATCGAGCCTCGTCTCGAATCAAATATTGTATCATTTCGATCCGAACCCCAACAATTGTAATCATCTCCGTATTCCCGTCTGCCCCTATCTTTAACTAATCGAGCTTCGGCTCAAACTGAACTGTTGCTCCACAAATCAAATTCCGAACCTCGCTATGTTATCCACCTTCGCCCCTCCATCCAATCCGCACCTCAAAAATATTCATATCTTCCCTTCAAAATTCACAAATTGTAAACAAAAATCAATGTACGCACTTCGCAAGAAACTTTTCCAGATAGGGAAAAGATGATAAATCGAAATAAACCGTGAAGGTGTCTTCGGACACTGGAACTATTTGCAAAAAAAAAAAAAAAAAAAAAAAAACTAACCTAACCTAACCTAACCTAACCAACCTAACGTGACGTTCAACAGTAAACATCGTAAATTTTTCTCTCCGTAAAGTGATCTAATTTACAAGTGACCTAGCGTTATTTCATCAAATTTTTTATATCAATTTTGTTTGTGAACATAACGTGACCTCATTTAAATTTGTTTGACGTTATAAGTCATAATCGTTTGTGATCTGTGGACGTGAATATGTCCGACCATCAAAAACAGCATGGTGAAAGCATGCTAGTTGACATTGATGCAAGGTCTAGTACACCACACAGACTTTCAGGAAGCGTTAGAGCTGAAGGTGGTCTTGCCAGTCCACTTCTGGCACCTCTCTTCAAGTCACCTAGTGTCCCGACTATTAGTGGCAGTGGTAAAAAAAGTGACCGCAGTGATAAAAACGGTAAAGAAGGTGATTCTGTTCCGAGTAGCCCTACAAAGAAAAGAGTTGGAATGGTACGGCAATTACAACGGAAATGTGAGACATTTATTGGACAGATGAACAACGTGACTAAGTCAACTACACTTAAAGACCATGGAGCGGAGTTCATATCGACAATTGCAGAGATGGTTGACAAGCTAGAGGAGAGTATAAGGAAAGAGCCAAAATTTGTGGACTATTCTAGTGACTCCACTGACGCTGAGGAGCTTGAACGTGAGAACACATTTCTTAGGTCAAAATTGCAGCGTTGGAAGAAAGTAGAGCGTGAAGGCCGTGAAAGAGACAACGTGCAAGAGCGTTTATTGGAATATATGGCAACGGAGATCCGGTATGAGGCTTTATATAATGAAACAAGAAGGAAGTTGGAGGAATTATCTTCGAAAGTACAAAACATTGAGTCCAATATGGAAGGTAGTCCACCGAAGATGTCAAGTACCGAAGACGAGAGTCATCAAGAAGAAGTTACGGTCATAGAAAGGCCTAAAAGAGTAGCAAAGAGGAGTCAGTTGGTAAGAACACCAGCATCAACTGAAATACCCAAGAAAAGCCGCAACATGGAATTCCGTTACGCTGGTGAATCAGATCAGAGCTTGGCCAACGGTAACCCATGGATATCAAATTCACAACACATAAACAAAGCGCCAACAAATGTAACATCAGCTGTAACATCAGCTGCTCCCATGAAGCGAAAAGAAAACAATGGCCCAAGGATTATAAATAAAATTCTTCCAGGTAGAACTCTACCAACCGACGGTACATGTGTCATCATCAAAAATGAACCGACACAAGCCGAGCAACTGAATGGTGATGAGCTTTACCACAAAATAAGAACAACTATTAGGCCGAAAAACATTGGGGTAGAAGTTAAGACTATCTTTGTTATTAGTCAAGCAAGAGTGGTGATCATCTGTAACACAGTAACTGACGTAAGGAAGTTGACGGATGAAATCAAGAGGACAATGAAGGTACAAGTGGTGGACGTTAAAAAGCGCCATCCGTTAATATGTATAAGTCGAATTCCTAGAGTGTACGGTGAGACGGTAAATGGAAACGTTGATGAGGAGATCTTTGAATACAATCCAAATATCCAAGGGATCAACAAGGACTCATTTAAATTTGCCTTTGCCAAGAAAACCAGAAACGGACAAGTCAATCATATATACGAATGCGAGCCTGAAATATATAAACAAATTATAACACAAGGTTACATAAAAATGGCGTATGAAAGGCTTAGAGTGTACCCACACTCACGTTTCGTCCAATGTTATAAATGTCAGCGTTTTGGTCATACAACCAGGAAATGTAACGCCAAGGAAGATGAGCAGATCTGTGGTCATTGTAGTCTCAAACATCCGACTAATCAATGTAACAAGAAAGAAACTGCAGCTAAATGCATAAACTGCATTAGATATAATGAAAATGTGTTGAACAAAAGACTAATGATTGATCCGAGTCACCCTGCCTACGCTTGGAGATGTCCAGTTCTTGACCGTATTTGGAACAACACCAAAGAAATGTCCGAGAATGGATACTGACGTCCTTAATTCAACAAACGCAATGAACCCAATTTATACAAAAAACCAAGAGGAGGCAACCGTACTCAAGATTATACAATTAAATACTGGCAGGTCTTATGTGGCGTATCAAGAGTTATTACAAAGAGTGGCAGAGAGTAAAATTGACATCGCAATGGTACAAGAACCACCACCAAATTTCCGTGTGAGGCAGAGTCAAGGGGTTAAATATTTTAGTAATTTGGACTCCATGGACGTATGGACTGTTGTCATCATTTTTAACCAACAGCTGAAAGTAGAAAACATCAAAACAAAGTTACCATCCACATCAACAGCTGTAAAAATTAATAACATCACATTAGTCAACGTTTATTTTCCCCCAAAGGCAAAAATGAAAAACTTGCTTACAAACCTTCAACCTCTATTACATGATCAGATAATCGTCTTTGGTGACATGAATGCTCGTTCTGAACTATGGGACACGAAAGAAAACAAAAGGGGAAAAGAATTAGCACAATTCATAGAAGAAAACAATTTACATGTAGAATATGGTAAAGAGCCCTCGTTCGGTGTTATAAGAAAAGGAAAGCTTCATCAAAGCAACATTGATCTTACTATTTTCTCCCACGTTACGCTGGAATTATTGGATAAATGGTTCTTCAGAAATGACATAAAATGCTCAGATCATAACGCAATAGAGATACACCTTAAAAGAAAAGATTTCATCACCAAAACAACTAACACATGGAAACCACGTTGGAATCTTAAACAAGTTGAATGGCAACGATTCAATGACTGCCTAGCAACAGAGTTTGAATACAAAATACCCGCGACGTTTGAATCGAATGGAAATGAAGAAGTGGACGTTTGGATAAAAGAGTGGGAACAAATTGTTAAATTTTCGCTGAGAAAGTCAGGGGGACGTCAGATAAATACTCTGAAGAGAATTAAGCAATACCCATGGTGGAATGAGCACATTGATGGACTCAATGAAAAACTGCGAAAAACCAAAAGAAACATCAAAAGAGCCAGCCCAAGATCCCTCAAACACCATCTTAGAGTGTATCAATGTACACTTAATGAGCTGAAATTAGAGATTGAAAAATCCAGAAACACCTTTTGGGCGGACTTCTTTGGACAGTGTCAACCTGAAGACGTTTGGAACTCTTATTACAAAATAATTAAATCGCGTGACAAGACGTCACTCTCACCAGTAATTCGAGACGGGGATATTGAAATCACGGGAGAGCAAAATCTTGCAGACTTTTATACTAAGCTTTTCTTCGGAGGCGATGATGAAAAATGGGAACTGATGGTGACGTCCGGGCAGATGTCTCAATTGATACAAGCCGAAGTATACACACAAGTGGATCAAGGGATAAAGAGGATTTTTACCCAAGTGTGGGTGAAATTAAGCACGTAATTGGTACATTCAGTAATAAAAAGGCTCCAGGAATAGATGGTTTAACGACAGAGATTTATCGCAATTTGAATGAAGATAATTTGAGAAAAGTCATTCATCTATTCACCCAATGCATAAAAATCGAGTATTATCCGAAAAGTTTTAAAGAGTCACTGACGGTACTGATTCCGAAATCAGGAGTTGATCCGAAAACGCCGAAATCATGTCGACCTATTGGACTCCTATCCCATCTTGGTAAAATTTTTGAGAAATTTATTCTGCTCAAAATGCAAAAATGGTTGGACAACACTCTTGCTGAAAATCAATATGGTTTTGTGAAAGGCAAATCTACGTTGCACGCGCTAGAAAGAATTACAAATCGGCTACAAGAAAACAAAAGAAGATGTAAACCAACGGTGTTGATATCCTTCGACATAGAAGGGGCTTTTGATAACGTCAGATGGGTGGACGTCATCAAGGTAATCAAACGCCACAAGCTTTCAAGTTGTCTCATTAACATCATGGAATCGTATCTGAGCGATAGGTATACAACCCTTCAATATGGACAAGCAACATCAAAGATTGAAAACACCAAAGGGGCTGTACAAGGTTCATGTTTAGGTCCCACCCTTTGGAACATTATCATTAATGAGTATCTAAGAGACACCAAGACAAGACGAAAGGGCGACAATACGGTTGACGTCATTGCTTATGCAGACGACGTCACTATTCTAAGTGACTTTCTGCAAACTCAATCAGAGAGAACGTCACCGCTGTTGAAAATGAACTGAAAGCAATAGAAAAATGGTCCAAGGAATTTCATCTAAAGTTCTCAGCAACCAAGACAAAGCTCGTATGGTTTCAATTCAAGAATAAGACTATTAAGCCAATCAGTTTTCAATTGTATGGTAAACCTATCATTGAAGTTCCCTCTGTTAAGATCTTGGGAGTGACGTTTGACCAGCGATTGGACTGGAAAACGCACACTCACAACGTCCGGGCTAAGATAATGAAAGTAGTCGCACAATCCAGACGATACCTTGGACACCCGAAACCTAGTTTACCCATACTTCGGAGAATACATGATGCAGTGTTAATTCCTAAAATAACATACGGAATAGGAGTCATTGGTAAAGGCTTCTCTGAGGAGACGTTTAAACAATTAACTGCTGTTCACCGTAAACTGTTAATTACATTGAGTGGAGGATACAAGACAACACCATATCTTTCCCTGTGTAAAATTCTGGATATAATACCGATCCGACTGCAAATTGAACAACAAATGTACAAATGGAATTACCTTTACAGCTCGCAAACAACTGACGTGTTGAATCTATCGATTGATAGAGCGGTTGAAGAAAAGTTTGACAAATCTTTCGCACCAGAAAGTGAAGAGGTTAAAAAACTCGCGAGAGGTAAAATAAAAACACAAGAGGAACTGAATGCTTTTCTGGCATCAAATCGATATTCATATCTCTGCTTCACGGACGGTAGTAAAGATGAGACAGGTTGTGGCTATGCAAGTATTGTTTATGACAGCAGCCTGAGGAAAATCACTGAAAGGACAGAACCCCTTTTTAAATATGCTAGTGTATTTCAATGTGAAGCCTTAGCCATTATAAATGCCCTCGAAACATTGGAAAAGAAGATTAGATTTAACTCCATGTCACTGGTGCTCACTGACTCGGAGATCATCTACAAAGCGCTGATGAGGACTACAAAACAGCATCTATTAATTCAATGTATTCGAGAAAAACTCGTACGTCTCCAAAACGAAAACAAAACTGTTCATGTTGTACAAGTCAGTTCTCACTCGAATGTCACTGGAAATGAAGATGTGGATCAACTGGCCAAACGTGCACGTAGATCCAAAAAGAAAGTCAAATTCGACGTCATCCCGAGGAGTCATATAAAAAAGCAGATTGAACAGCACATTGCCTGTAAAGCAATGAAACAATTTGAGCAGAATAAATCAAGAAGCCTGATGATAAACATCCCAATGGGTTGGAATACGTCACCGTACAAATGTAACATCTCCAAAGAGCTTCTTTGGTTACTGAGTGGACATGGGCCCTTCAATCAATACCTGCATAGGATGAGACTCAAACAATCACCCACATGCCCCTGTGGTGAAGGTGACATGAGTAATCATCATATTGTTTCTACCTGTTCTAAATCATCACAAGAAAGAGACAATCTCATTGTCGAGGCAACGTCACAGGAAAGTGAACTAACAAACACAGTCACTCGGGTGCTAGAAACAACTATTGCGAGCGGTACGCTGGCATCGATTGAGCTAATCAATCATTTTGCTAAGGAGATCATTAAGCTCTCTAGTAATCTATGTAACAATATCAACTGACGTTATCGTACTCAAGTGGAACAATTACCTTTCTTTTGGATCAAACCATGGAAATCAAGAGAGTCAAGCTTTACGTTAATTGGAGCTTTGGTCTCTCAAAGGTCAGTGATCGTTTCTTGCCTCTGCGTCATCAATTCAATCTCGTGGGAAATCAATTAAACATGTTTATTCACACGATATCAATTCTGAGCAATAGTTCGACTTGATCAAGTTATTGAATGTTGAGCTTCATATCCACTTTTACTTTTATAAAAGTGAGGATAATTAACTTCTCAAACTAAACATCATTAAGGTTCAAATTTCTAACAAATATCCCTAACAGGAAAGCTTTTTAAATCCATTTAAAAGGAATTTTAATATTCCCTCATAAACTCCTTAAGGTTTACAATTTCTCTCTTAGCATAAATAAGCTACTTAAAGTTAAGCTTTTTAAATCATCCGGCCCTTTAACTCTTTCCTTGTCATTATGGTAACGAAATCTTTTAACCAATCCAAAGCACAATTAAGTCTCCCACGTTTTTATCCTCATCTTCCTTTCTCATTTTTACTCCGACTCTCAAACTGTTAACTTCAAATTCAATTCGAATTGTACACTTCAACAACGTTCACCATCTTTGAAATTATTTCACCGCATTGATTTATGTCATCAAATTCATCATCTTCAAAACCCAAATCGTCACCTACCATACGTGCGCTTTTAGCTATTGTTAAAAGAAACTCAAGTGAATCAACGTACAACTTTATCAAAGATATGGCTCCTTCTCCTCACCCGAGTGATTCTGATCCTGATGAACTAGATCTCAGGGAAACAGATGAGACAAACTTAGTGATTGACGTTACCAAGGATGAGAGAGAAACCAACAAGGATAAATTGGATCTTTCATCACATTTGAATTCTCCTAATGTTGCCTCTTCACTCAAACAACCTGAGAAATCAACTAATGAAACGCCATTTCCTGAACCTGTTGCGTCAACGAGTAGTGACGATGGTAGATTTGCTCGTAGTGGGAAAGATCAATGGCCAACGTGGTTCTGTCCATCACCTCCTCATGCAGATTCACCTTTTAAAACGTCAACAGCAAAATTACTTTACCGCTCAAGGTATCCAAGTGCCACAACAGACTCAGTTGACAACGACCCTCTGAGAATAACAGAGAATCAATCTGATATTTTAAGCTCTGCAACAAGTTCTATTGCGCCGATTAACTCACCAATTGACTTCACTAGAAGTGGAGCAAGTTCAATTCATGAGGAATCACCAATGAAAACCCAAGAACCAAGTGAATACAGTAAGAGGATTATTGAAATTGATCAAGTTGGTGCATTAAGAGTTGATCTTGAAGGGTCAGCTATGGTGGAGAAATCAGTAAAACAATCTTAGGACAATGGTGGTAACAAACGACCTGAGTCAACGAGAGTTGGAAGCGGCGTCAAGGTTGTGACGGAGTCATCCAAAGAAGCGGCTGAAACAAATCCAACCAACAGACTTACACCTAAAGAAGTTGTGATTAATCCCACGTTGGATGAATTGACCATTGTGATGAGAAGACTGGTTCAAATGCTGATGACTGAGATTAGGGATGAAAACAGAGGTAATCTCGAAGAGATTAAAAGAAGTGTATCTGAATTAGCAACAACCAGGAATAAGCCGACTCAGTCAAAAGCTTCTAATCAATCTTTCCTCATCGGTGAAAATACTACAACCATCGTTCAGGATAATAATTCAAATTCCAACCTAAGTGAAAAAGGTACTCAGGTTGATTCATTTTTCAAATCACTCAAAGAAACAAGAGAAGCAGCTTCTCAGATTGAAATTTGTCACAGTGACTGTGAGACTCAAATTTCCATTGAAACTAGAGAGTCTTCTACTCAAGTTCCCAAAGTTAAAACTGTTGACAACTTTACTCAAATGATGAAATATCCATCATCAGCATCAACACAAACAAACTTGCCGAGGAACAACGTCAAGATTCAGACTGAATCCAAAGATACGAGGGAAATGGAAACTCAGGTGAACGTTTATGATCTATTGAATGTGGATTATCATTCTGAGAATACTTATGGCCCAATGGATATTGTTCTTGCGACTGCAACTAAACATTCAGCTATTATTCTCCGCGATCTAAATGCGATGGTGATGCAGCTAAAAGAAACTTTCTTAAAACTGAGCAACAACTTTGCTAATTATTCCGGTATGGTCATCATTGGAAAAGCTGAATGGGAACACGGTATATTAGAAGACGCCATAGAACAAATGGACCAAATCTTGGAACAAAACAAAGCTATGGTAGCTATAAGTGCTAAGAAAAGTGACGACCTTGTCCTCACCGAAGTGAATGAATACGTCAGCAAGGAAAATGATGACAACATTAAGTACCCGAAGACGGTGGTGGACGTGGCGGACGTTATTCAAAGAGTCAAATCAAGGAACTTTATTGATAAAACACTTCTTGGTGAAACTCCTTCTAAACATCAAACGTCTACTAAAACAACCAAGACAACGGGGAAAAAGTTAACTGAGGCAAAGGAACCATCAACTGTTTCAACCAAGGAAAATAATCAACTTGAAGTCTCAACAAGTGGTGATGAAAATCTCAGTGGACCAAGTCCAGTGAAGGAAGGATGTCAAGTTGATGACGTGGATGTAAATGAAATTGAGTTGGCTTCTGATACTCCAAATGCAGAGATTGACGTACGGTCTAAATTAATTGACGATGTTGATGCTGATCCAAGTCTCAGAAAGAAGAAGAACTTGGTTGAGAAAACGCTCACCAAGAATGTAGCTGTTAACTTAGACAAAGTTACAGGAAAAATTACCCCGAGAAAGTCAAATAAGCCCGAGTCTGACAATTCAGGCAGCTCGCTCAACGATGAAGAGTTTGAAAGCCTTGATAAGGTTATCTCCACAGCAAGATTGTACGGAGCGTATGACTACCCAGAAGAAACCGTAGGTGATAAAAGAAAAAGGGATCAATCTGATCCAAAGGCAATTGCTAAGAAACAAAAGAAATGCCCCGATAAAGAACTGAGTAAAGACTTGGAACAACTTGGGTTAAAACCGAATAAAAACGATCCGATCAAAATAAATGAAAAAGATAAAGGTAAAATCGAAAAACCTGATAAAGGAAAAAGAGTTGTTGGTCCCATGAAAAGTAAAGCTAAACCAAAGATCGCAGTAACGTCAGATGAAAGCTCTGATGAAGCTGAACTTTACGTTCCCCCAGTTAAGACTTCAACTCCAACCAAGAAGAGTAAAATTGCCACAAGAAGCCAAGAAGACCTCGTCGAAGTCAGACTTTGCAAAGTCTCTTATTGTCTCTACATTGAGAATGCGGCAATTGGTACAAATCTCGTTCGACATAGAAAAAACTATCATAGTGAAACTGAAATAGCCAAATTGGGTGGCGTCACATGTGAGAAAATCGTAATACCAAAAGAAAAATTTGAGAAGTCGCTCTTCCGATGGGAAATTATTAAGGATACAGCAGCTATAGCGAGGAACATCAAGAGCATCAAGGAAGATCCGAAAGCCTTTCTGGCAATTGTTAAACAAGCACAATTCATGGTGGCTGAAACGGAAGACAACAAATTACAATTTCTCAGATTCGACAAAGACCGAAGACAGATTGTTTACAAAGCTCCCAAAATACCACAAAGTGAAATGTACATTTTGAACAGTGAACGTTAGGGAAATTATTCACTCTTCTTCTCATTTGTTTACTCCAACACCTTTACCCTAAATCTTCCTACTCTACCTCATTTAACATTTTATACTCTGAAAAGTCAACATTATTTACTCGCCCTCTTAAACTTTTATCTAATATTACGTCTTGTTAATTCAAATACTTATATTCATATTTATCATTTTTATTTATTCCTCTAACGTGCCATAATTAATTAAACAAATCACAGTTCATAGTATAAATAAAATTACATAAACAAATCACCTATACCCAAATAGAATGTAAATAATTTAATAACGTAACTTGATCGGTCAGCTAATGCTCATTACCATAGGGTTCTCAGCCTAGTCTAGTCACCTAAGGAAACTTAAATAAAAACAAATACTCTTGACGCAGAGGCTCATGTTTCGATCACTGAAAAGGAAGGGGAAGTCTCTTCCTCATTAACCCTGACAAAACTAAACACCAACATGATTTACAATCCGTCTCTTTTACCGTTAATATGAAACGCTCTCTCACCTACAAGCCAAACCAGTCAACGTCCTCCCTTAGGAGAGTGACTTACACTCATGTTTGTGCTTCCTTCGTACCTGGTCATTAAACTGCTTTCTTCCTTGAGTCCACATATGAGACATCCTTGATACTTTGATCTAAATAAAGATCACATTAACACCCAAACCTGTTAATCCTTCATAATGACGGTGACGTGAACCTTTGGCGAACGTCACCCTCCGACCTCACGTCACGTTGCTTCAAATGGATGAAAACGTCAGGCAGTTAAGTGGGTTGCGTCAATGTCTAGTGACATTGGTTAACCCACTTAGAGTCTGTCTTTCTGGTACTGGTGACACAAAGACTATCAAGTCAAGCCTGCACTCTATCCATGGGCCAATGATCAACATCAACAAAGGGCAACGTCAAGAGTGTCAACCCAGAAAGATAATGAATAGACGTCATTCTGCCACTAAATCTGGTGTGACTGATTGACGGGAAACGTCACGTCCACCATACTATCATGGAGCAGCGTCAATACTAAATGGAAGTCACGTCAGGTCAAATTCAAAGGACGTCAATAGACAATAACATGCAGATGACGCTGGACGCTCGCGTCAACGTCTTAACGTTAGTTAAGACACGTTACGTCCTTCTGTGAAAACGTCACGTCCACCTACTATCATGGAGCAGCGTCAATACTAAATGGAAGTCGTCAGGTCAAATTCAAAGGACGTCAATAGACAATAACATGCAGATGACGCTGGACGCTCGCGTCAACGTCTTAACGTTAGTTAAGACACAACGTTACGTCCTTCTGTAGAAAACGTCACGTCCACCCTACTATCATGGAGCAGCGTCAATACTAAATGGAAGTCACGTCAGGTCAAATTCAAAGGACGTCAATAGACAATAACATGCAGATGACGCTGGACGCTCGCGTCAACGTCTTAACGTTAGTTAAGACACAACGTTACGTCCTTCTGTAGAAAACGTCACGTCCGACTCTCACCTATGGAGCAACGTCACATTATCAAGCGTCATCAATAAAGCGTCATGAACACAAATACGTCAATAGATGAAAAAAGGGACGTCAACGCAACATCAACCAAAGGCTACGTCAACTCAATGTTTTGTGACGTATACTGCTCAGATTGACGTGACGCAAGTAACTCACCGTCACCTAACTCAAATATATTAAATACAGTAAATCTTTGTTATTTTTATAAATGTAAATATATATGTAAATATGATGACGTCCCTATATACACCCCAACCCTAACTAAATGTAAGCCCTCTATCCATCTCCCATACAATTGTAATCTTTAATCCCTTGCCAAAATGTAACCACTTTCCTCTGATAGTAATATCTCACCCCTGACGTCCTGACGTGGAACGTAACGCTCCACGTCAGACGTCGATTTGTAACCAGCGTCGGTCCTAGTATTTGGATCGACAAAACAAAACTTACAATAGTTTTGAATAAAGAGTTTTTCTGCCCCTCAAAAAAAAAAAAAAAAAAAAAAAACCTAACCTAACCTAACCTAACCTAACCTAACCTAACCTAACCTAACCTAACCTAACCTAACCTAACCTAACCTAACCTAACCTAACCTAACCTAACCTAACCTGAGTTTCCTTGTATCATTAAGTTTTTTCTTTATGAGTATTGGTATTTCCGGGTGCTTGATTGCCGTACTTGGTAGCTTGCTGAGGTTGTTTGGGTTACTCCAGTTGTAGTTTACGAGGCCGTCAATTTGTCTTCGGTTGTTTGTGAGGGCAGGGCATTTAAGTAGTATGTGTTGACTTGTTTGTTGCTCAAGGTTGCAGAGTACACATGGTTTATGTGGCTGGTTGCTTAGCTTCTCTATGTGGGCTTGGAAGGGTCCGTGGCCAGTTATGAAGGGTAGCAGTGGTTTGAGCTCACTCAAGTTGTTTGCCAAGGTAGAGGTTGATGAGTACGATGGGAACCATTTAGTAAATGTTTCGTTGTGCTCATCTTCGTATGTTGCCTCGGTTTCTTTCTTGGTTCTTTGCTTGATGCACTGCTTTAGGTAGCTTCTTGGTACTGTTGAGAAGTCGGGTTTTGTCTTCTTGGTTGTAGCTTCCTTGGCAAGGCGGTCTGCGAGTTCGTTTCCGTTGTGACCAACGTGTGCTTTTATCCAATGTATGTGGATGGTCGTGTTGAGTTGTTTAAGTCTGTGGATGTTTTCTACACTGGAGAGGACTTGGGTGCTGGTTATTTTGTTCTTGCGGATTGTGTGTATTGCTGCTTGGGAGTCGGTGTATATGATGATTATGTTTGGTTGGTTCGGGGTGGTTGATCGGTTGGTTGACTGCTTGGTTGCTATCTGGAGTAGTTGTTTGGTTACGATGTTTATTGCTTCGAGTTCAGCCTGGTAGACGCTGCAGTAGCTTTCAAGCTTTATTTTCTTCTGCCATATCGGGAGGTTACATGAGTTCATTATTACTGCTACGGCTCCTACTTGTTTGCAGTCTATTTTACTACCATCAGTGTAAGCGGTCATGCTTGCCTGCATTGCCTGTTGGTGACTTTGAGGGTCGTCGCATAGGCAGGTGTTGAGTTTGAGGCTTGCAGGGTGGGCTTGAGTGTAGAGGGTGGTTCGTGTTTCAAGAGTCCGGTCTTCTGGGACGATGTCAAGGTGGTCATTGTCTATTCTTGTTTTTGCATTATCATAGATTGCTTGTAGGTGCAGTGTTATGGGTGTAAGTTGGGTAATTGTACAGCAGCTAGTCCATGAGTTTGTATGATAGAGCTTGAAGTTATGCAAGATGAAAGATCTTTGAATTCTTTTTAGTGTTGCTTGCACATGTTTTCTGCTTAGGCGTTGGCCCCAGCAAGCAATGCCGTATGATAGCATAGGCACAAGTACACCGTTGTACAAGTCTCTGTAGATATCAGGGTGGTCACCGTATATTGATTTGGTTACCGCGATTGACCTTCTTGTGTATTTCCATGCCTTGCTTACTGCATAGGTGAGGTGCTTTTGGAACAGTAGTTTTTCGTCTAGGAGTATTCCAAGGATCTTCGTCTCGGTTGCTTTGCTTAGGCTGTGTGTGTCGATGGTTGCATTGATATTATTGTCTCCCTTGATGTTCATTTGTATTGATTTCGATGCTGATATTTTCATCTTGTTCAGCGAGGCCCATCTTCCGACAAGCTTGGTTGCTTTGTCTGCTCGGGTTTGAAGGGTGCTTTGCGAATCAGCCGAGATGATGAAGGTTATGTCGTCTGCGAATGCTTGAGCGTAGATGCCTTGTTCTTCTGCTTCGGTTAGTATGTCGTTTACTACAAGATTCCACATTATTGGTCCAAGCACGGAGCCTTGGATGCAGCCTTTTTCTAGTTGTTTTGTCTCAGTTTGTCCCATGTAGTTAAGTTTTACCTGTCTTTCAGAGAGATATGACTTAAGGAGGTTGAAGAGGTTGTTAGGCAGGTTCAGCTTGCTGAGCTTGAATAGTATCATTGGCCACCATGCATTGTCAAAAGCACCTTCGATGTCGATGGAGATGAGAAGAACGTTGGCATTTTAGTTCATTAATGTTTTTTTTCTCATAGAGTTCCAGCGATGAAACAATAATATAGTATGACAATGAGTCATATGGTTCATCATCATCTTCATCATCATCATCATCATAATCATCATCATCATCATCATCTTCATCATCATCATCATCATCATCATCTTCATCTTCATCATCATCATCATCATAATCATCATCATCATCATAATCATCAGGGAAAGGTGAAAGTATTGCTAATCATACACATAAATGTAGAAATTGCAACAAAAAGCCTAACAAGCGCTATGGCATGTATTGGGCACATACTAAAATTTGTGGTAAACCTCACCCACCACTCAATGTATCATTCGCATAAAAGAATGGACAATTTCACCAGTTGATGAGCTTCATGGGAAATCGCTTCGTTGTATATCGAACCAAGAATCCAAATGCTGTTGATACAAGTGCGATTTATGATAATTTATCCGTCAATATCATAAATGTTTTAAAAATGGCGACCAACAAAGTGAAGCTTATCGAAGCCGCAATAAGTGTTAAACTTGAAATGATCAAAGAATCAATCAATGGACAACAAAAATTGAAGCCAACGTTCACGAGTACATTACTCAAAATATATCAAGGATCAAATTCAACTAAAAAAGATTGAATTGAAGAATTGATTCTTCCATAGATCAATTCACTCAACGAGGGGCAGGATGTTCAGTCAATAGATTCATCAACGTGGACATCATTTTTGGCTTATACAAACCTCATAAAGGAGGGTGTCGCTCAATTAAATTACCTTGTGAACTTGCCAATAAAAAGTGTCTCATTTCACCAGCATCTGATCCGAATTGCTGCACTTTCGCTGTTCTTGCTTGTATCCATGCTCCAGCTCATAATCCCCGAAGAACATCATGTTATTCATGGTTCCATCGACTTTATGACTTTTTTGATGTGCAAGGTATTGTTCCCGTTACAGCTATCAACAAGTTCTGTAGAAAGAACAATGTGTCAGTGAATGTTTATAAATACGAGGTATCAACAAAAACAATCTGGTCAATCAAAGTTATGGATAAACCAAATCCAAAACATTGTAACCTTCTTCTACATAACGATCACTACTTTGCCATTTCAAACTCAAATCGTTTAGCTAGTAATAATGGTAGAGCTTATCATCATTTTTGTCACCGCTGCATAAACTCTTTCAAAGATGAAGAACGATTGAAAGCCCAGTCAAAAGATTGTTTACTGCATAAAGCTCAACAGATCATTCTTCCTGAATCTAACTCACGGAATTCATACATAACTAGAAATGATTATCGAAAAGAAAGCCGTTTTCCATATGTGATTTACGGTGATTTTGAGACTCTATCCGTTCAAGTTGACGGATCACAACGTGTTCGCGCTGACTTGGTACCTGTTAGCTTCGCACTTGTAGCTGTTGACTGGAACTCAAATATAATTGAAAAGAGACTATCATTCGGTCGAAATCTTGGTCAAAAATTTTTCACAGCGCTTGTTGAAATAAAAGAAAAGTTGAAAAAACATCGTGAAGAAAATTTGATGTCTGCACGCGATGAACATGAATTCGAGAATATAGAGAACTGTCACATTTGTGGTAAAAAGTTACATAGTGACCGTGATCATTTCATTGGTAGATTTAGAGGTCCCGCTCATCAGACTTGTAATGTTGCATACCAGGTTCCATCCAAGATTCCCGTCATTTTTCATAATTTGAGAAACTTCGACGGACATATTATCATTAATGCTTTACGATCTGGAATGTTTGAAAAGCCACCACGATTGATTCCACACACCATGGAAAAATACATTGCATTCATTCTTGATGACTTGGTTTTCCTTGATAATTACAGTTTTCTCACTTCATCCCTTGACAATCTCTTACGAATGATAACTAAAGATATTCAGACTATTCTAAGTGGTACTACACCTTCTCTATTTCTATTAGTGGTTTAGAGAAGTTGTAGTTGTCAAGCAGTGCCTGAAAAAAAGTAATTGAAAAAAGAAAAACAATGAAATCAATTTCTTAGAAATCGAAAATTTTTTTTATGTTTTTCTTTTTTATTTCAATTATTAATATTAACCAATTTGCTTAATCGCTTGGATCTGTCGAGTTAGTATGAAAGCTCCTCGTTGTGTTTTCTTTACAAATGTTTCATTTGTGTCGAGAAGAGGAGTATTATTGATTTCTACTCTGGCAAGTCTGGTTCGCAATAAAACATTATGACCACGTGTTCTCCTTAGCGTGAAGGCGCAAGTTAAAGGGGAGTGATCGGAATGATTTACCAATTTCTCAACATCGAGGGCAGGGGCAGGGGCAGTTTTGGTCAAATTTTTTGAATAACAAATATAATCTATTCAGTCTTCGTCATGTGTTTTGTCATCACTGGACGTGCACATTCCATATCTAAACAGCATAAAGGAAAGAAGAGCTGAATCTTCATTGGCCGCTTTTTCCTCTGGTGTTGCCCAAAAAAGATTTTTTATATTCAAATCCCCGTCATAATGATGGCATGAACTGGGTCAACATAATTACTATTTAAATCGTATCCGCCAAAAGTGAAGGTGTCGAAGGCAGCAAAAATTTTGCTCATCCATTCCTTCACAGGGTAGCTTGGCTGGCGGTATGTGTTTACATAGGCTAACAAGCAGTCCTTGTCCAGGGTGAATACACCGGCATTATACATAACAGGACAGCCGAAATCAAATTTCTTTAAATGTTGCCTCAAGCCTGGTGAAACTTTTGATATTATCGGTGGAATCGAGTAACACGAAAGTGTTCTTTCAGCACCAAGATACTCAACTTTTGGGTGAGTACAACTTCTTGTTGCTCGCTCAACGGGAAGTCCTTCAAAATTATTCAATCTTTTTTGGACTCCGTCACTTTCCGTTTCCTAGAATCCTGCTATGAAGTCAATTTTGTTGTTCGTGTAAAAAGAGACAGGCTCATTGACACTGTTCATGTTTGACCTGACATTTCGGGAAAAACAACAATAATCATTTTTAATTAATTGATTCATTGTTGATGATGATGGTAAACAACAACAACAACAAGAGGAATTAATCATTAGCTTTTGATGGTGATGGCTCAACTAATACATATGCTTGATTTTAATTCAATTTAACTAAGTTAATTTGTTTTAATTTTAAATCAAGTTGATTTAGTTAATCAATTAATTTCAGGAATCGATTTGGTTTATTTCCAAGGAAGTGAATTAATTTGGAATTAATATTTGAGAGATTAGCCTAATCGTTTCCATTGCTTAAATTTCTGGCTGTTGCTGTTACTGCTGCTGTCCCACCATATATGTATTATAACTAATATTCTAAAAGGTTTTTAAAGTGTTTGTAAATTACACTAATTTAGTTTGAATTGTTGTTTCAACAAAGTGAAAACTTTTGTTTCGGTCATTTGTAAATTTTTTTTCCAAATTTTTGTTTTGTTAAATGATTTAGCTTTTGTACTTCAAAGTGGCAATCAATTGTTAAACCGTCAATTGTCCTTTCATAACATTGAAAAGCTAAACTGGTCCTTAAATGACGGTTAATGGTAGCTTAAATTTCAGGGCAATCGGAAAGGGCTATAGTATATATAAATTAAAGATCTTCGGCCAGAAATTTTATTGAATATTTCCAATCAGATTTAACACAAAAACATGAATTCCAATTAATCAATTCCTTGGAAATAATAACCAATCGAAGCTGAAAAGGAATCAATTAATTAACTTAATTTAAACAAACAATTTAATCTTTATTAATTACAAATTAACACAAATTAATTTAATCATCAACATCAACCATCACCATCATTAGCTAATGACCAACTGACTTGTTGTTGTTGTTGTCGATTGTCAATAACAATCAAATCATCATCAACAATTGATGTTGATTAATAAAAATTAATATTTGTTAACCTGTTGTTGTTGTGGTTGATCAACAGCAACAATAACAATAAATGTTTGACAACAATTAGTTAATTAATTGTAGGTTGAGAGAGAGAGAAATTAAATCAAAAAGAAAGAGAAAAGTAAGAGAAAATGAAAGAGAAAAAGAAAAGAAAGAAAGAGATGAGAAAGAGGATTTCTTATCCTTTGGTTTCTCTTTCCAAAAATTGACTTTACATTACATATATTTCAGTCAATCACGTCAATATTGTACATCCCAGATAATTTGTAAATCCTTTCTCACCTATCCCAACACTGTACAATATCTCCAAATATGAAATGCTACGAATCATGACACTGACAATGACGTGTCAAACTGGCGGTCATGAGTCAGTGATACATGTCACCGTCAGTGTCAGTGTCAACACCCACACTTTCACCAAGTTAAAGTCAACACTGACATTCTATCACCTTAAATACCCGCTCTGAAATTACAATCTCTAGAAAGCTCATGTAAAATCACCTCGCTTTTCTAAAAAGGCTCATTGGAAAGGTACTTGCCATTAAAAGAATTGTTAATATCGTGTAAAATTGGTAATCTATTACATATTTTATTTAGATAATTGTTTCATTTACTATTAATATATTGTAGCAATAATTTCAAATGAAGTATCAGGTGACTAGCCTCAAGTTACATTATCTCTGTTCGGTCTTAGCTTAGATGAGGTGAGATGATTGGTCAATATCCATCTCATTGTTTTAGTTTTCGGTTAATTATTACACTTTGCACTTGATTAATTGTAATACAGTCTTTTTGTTTTACAATCAATTCTTTATACAATCTTATGAATATTAATAGAACAAATTTAACATAGCGGAAGAGAATTAGAGAAACAATTATAAAAGAAATAGGAAGAAATTCTAGGAAATAGTAGGAAAGAAGGGAGTTGAGATTAGAATATTGAGATCGCACAATCAGTAGCAGAGTGGCCATTCTGTTTGCAGTTAGAGAATTTGTGTTAGATTAACATATATAATAAGATGATTTGGTTATCTTTTCAAATTAAATCGTGAAAAGATGAGTCGAGTTTGCATCTAAATAATGAATTGAGTGATTTCAACAGAAAAACTTTTGAGTAAAATGCTTCAAGTGAAAAAGATGAATCCATGTTGCAGATTATGAATTCGGGGGTGATAATAATTTAACTGATTCCATTGTTTAGTGAAAGATTATAAAACATTGGTGGTTACGACGATGAGCGGAATTTAAAGATAAAAATAATTTTCTCGATAAAATGAAGATTTAGAATGTATTCAATTCATCTGCTCTCGTCGTTTTGACTATTATTTATAATTTGACTAGTTTTGCATTCAAGGAACTGGTTCATCAATAAATCATCATGGTTGAAAAAATTGAGTGACAGTGAGTGTGTTCACTGTCATCGAGAGTTATCACGTTTTATCGTTGGTTTTTATGTTGATAAACGGTCGTTTCCTCGAATCAAAATAAATTATTCCGATAATTCACTAACATCGCCATTTACAGTTGACCCTCCATTCCCAATCGGACTTGACCCATTCGAGACTGAACCATTCAGGCTATTAGCTAATTCTTTGGGTTTCTTAAGATCCATCGTCGTGGTGGGTAGTGACGCTGATGGTGAACAATTTGCTTCATTACGCGAACTTGTCACATTTACATGGTGTCCATTTATTACTGATCCTGATTCACGATGATTTGATGATCCACAAACTTTATGGTGATTTTCCCAATCTTTGTGCTGGCAAAAGGAACCACAATATCTAGCAACATTACAACCGCTACAAGTTTCACTCGCTTTTCTCCCGCAATTCCAACAATGCTAAAAATAAGGAAACAAAACAAAGATTAATGATAACAATCAGAATAGTCAATATACTAAACGACGATCAGGTTTCTACGTGATTGTGTTTAAGTAATTACAACAAATCTTTTTTCTAACTCCGAGTAATTTTATTATTGATTGAACTTCCGATAACCGGTCTACGTACTTGATCAACAAAAACTTTCAAACTACGGAAATTAATATGATAAAAACATAAGTCAATTTCAAAGAATTGAACCATTTTGTATTTTAGTTTCTTCCTATTTACTTAGCAACCATAGAATTGAGGTATAAATCTTAATGTTCAGTTCGTTCTGCGTCGAAAAATTTGATAGAACCAGTTTTCTTTGTTGGAGAATGTCGACCAATTGTTCTTACTTCGTCAGAATCTTCCTGATGATTCATAGCAGTGATCGCATCTTCGGTAGCTTGGCGTCGAGCTTCGTTCAACATTCTTTCCATTTTGGCTCGTTCAGCAGCGACGATTTCACTTGCTTTACTTTCCGCCGCACTCATCGCTTTATGGAGTTCAACTACTGCCGCTCTTTTAGCATCATTGACAACCTCTGTTCAGAGATAAATTGAGATGATCATTAATCTAATCAGTCAGATACGAAACTGAGTTACACCCACCGAAATGGTTATTATTACTCCCCAATCTAGTTCGTCTTGCTGAATCTGCTGCAGCGGCTGCAGCCGAAGCCATGGCTCTGTCGACCTCAGATGGATGATTTTGAGATTTTGCAAAATGAATTGTAGTTAACAATGGCTCTCTAGATATCCTGAATTCGTGAACATCTAATCCATTATGAGAAGATGGATCCAATGGAGGAGGTGCAGCACTAAGCCGATTCCTCAAAGCCGTTCCTGGAGGAGTCCACAAAGGGGGAGAATTGATTGATGCATATTCAACACTTCTATGTTGTAGGATAGCCAAGGCTCGTTTTGTCTTCTCTACCATTCCCATGATACAATTAAGCATCTAAACGATTGAGAGAAAAAGATGCATAAACAGATTAGTGATTCATTAGTCCTTTCGCGCTTACAACCAATAAGTTAATAGGACGGATCAGAAAAACATGACACTCTGCCTGACTCTGATTAGTCTATAAATTGTTATTTCATTTTACTATTAAAACATAAATATTTCTTCCAGACCAAAACTGGTGAAATTTTTCACAAGTTCCATTGGGCTGAGTTACTGATT